CTCAAACGGATGTTCTGGATAGAATATCATGAGGTTTAGAGCCTGCAAGTTTTATGTTGTTCCTCACGTCCAGCTCTTCCTGAAAAAAATTTATTAGGAAAAAGAATCTAAAAAGAAAAATTATTACTACATTGATTGGACCAACTCTCCTTTTTAAAGCAGGGTATATGATTAATTATAAGAAAGTATTTTTGATGTGCAATTTATGCTGACTACTGAGAACTCATCTCAAAGAAGGCTAGAAGATTGAATGTCTAATAAAATAAAAAATTTAAAAAGTAGACAACAGTACAAGTTTTTAGAATCACTGAAATTATCAAATAGTGTATTTCATTAAAAATAAATTCTCCTTAAATTATAACATGGATCTAAAAATAAATTAGGAAATATAATAAGAATATTGCTAGATTTTTTTGAAGGTAGGAAAATTTTCTTTGAAAATGAGACCTTTGGCTAGATTCAGGAAATGTGAGAGCTTTTTTTCTTTTCTTTTCTTTTCCTTTTCCTCCCCCCCCCCAATAATGCTTTTTAAAGGTGCAGAATCAATACTGGATTTATGTATACCTGACCTATATGGGGAAGAGGAAACCACCGTCTTTTGGCTGAAATTCCTAGTTGGTAAAATAGAAATTCCTAGTTGGTAAAATAGACATTTCTGTTTTGAAGACAAGGGAAGAATAAAGTATAGTGTAGTTCTATATGGCTACGTTAGGCTGCTAAAACTTAAAAACAAACAAAGAAACCTATCTTTGCTGGTTCTCTGTCACTTATTCAAATAAGATGATCTTAATTGAGCTGAAGGTGGAATAAGAGTTTGTAATTGTCATATTTAGAACCCAATAGTTACAGAGCTGTTTCCTTATGGCTAAAGGTATATGCCTCAACTTTTCAGAAATGATATAAAGAGATTTTGAAAAAAAAAAAGAAAAAGAGATTTTGAAAATCGCCATTTAATTTTCTGCAGTAATAGTTTAGAATTTAATAGACATATCCATAATTAAATAATTGATTTGAAAAACTTTTTAAAATGTTATTTAATATAATCAAATATACTACTTTATTAGAAAATGCAAAAAAACACATTCATTTTGTTTGAATATCAAATATAGTTATAAATAATTTAGGCCTTCAAAATGGAACTTACTTTAAAATATAAAATACTAAAATTTTAGTATAAAATACTAAAAAATACTAAAATACTAAATACTAAAGAACTACTCTGGACTCGTATGTCCTAAAATGTAATTGCTATACGTAATTTGAAATAACTGATTAAACATGAGTAGTCTTCAAGAGAAACAGAACCAGTGCCATCTTATGCTATTATTTAATTAGCATGCTATACACTAAAATCAGCTGGAAAAGAGCCAAAGTAAGCCTTAAAGGACAGCATGATAATTAAGAGTTGCCACTTCTCTTATTTTTATCATAAAATTCAGTCCTGGAATACAGTGTGAAAAAGAGAAACCTGAATGTAAGTGATTTCCTAATTATTTTGATTTTTAATTCCAAACATTTGGATATTTTAAACTTCCTAATCTTTGCTAATTTAGGTATAAAAATTCATATAATATTAAATACAACTTTTGCTGTCAACATGGTTATCTTGGAGACCAAGGATTATATATTATTTCTTCTTAATAAAATTTCTAATCCATTCTTATTTTTGATTACAGCATTGTGGCAACTTTTCCATGAAAAAGCTATAAACATTTAGGCCTAATTTTAAAACAAATAATTATTATGCCATCTAGTATTAAAAAAGTGGGAAGTCCCTATAACCAAAAGTATGTTTATACCAAGAGAGATACTAACAGAATATTCTCTCCCTCACCCAGGAACCCACATTGTAAGGAAGCATAATGTAACTAGTGATTATCAGTAACTTTTTAGGCTTATTTAGGCAAATTAAAATAAATTGTGATCATAGATTTTATGTCAATTATTTGATCTCTTTCTAGTTCATGAGCTCTACTTTCTTCTAGTTCAGTATGCAAAACAATTCCATAAGTATCTTTGCTATAATCAGCAATTATGAGCAATTCAACATTAATCTTAAATGGTCTGATTTTAGAATAAATTTCTAATAGGAGTACTTACTATGCTTATTTTCCCCTGCAAATTTCAGAATAAAATATTTCATAAATAGAAACATTTGCATCTTCTAGCTACTAAAGTTTTCAAGCCCTTTTTGTTCAAAATTTACGTGTCGTAAAATTTTTCCTCAAACAAGTCTGATATAGGACATTCAATAGCTTTTATCATTGTGATACTGAAGCCATATTTTCATTATCAGGGAAGTCAGAGCCTAATTGCTGTTTTTAAGTATCCTGGATTTCTCTGATAAAAGGTAGTATAATATATAATGGGATTTCTTTTTTTTTTTTATAATGGGATTTCTGCTTCAAGATCAAATCTGTATTTACAGTAACTAGTAAGAAAATAGTGAAGTTTGAGGTTACCAGGATAATGACTGAATGCCAAGTCCTAGACACTGGACAAAGTACATTCAGGGGTCAATAAAACTCTGGGAGCCTGTGAGCAGAGGCAAATGCAGTTTGGCGCAGTGGACCGAATATAGACATAAGATTCAGATGTAGCTGAAAGAGAAAGTAAGGAAGTGTCTGGGGAGACATCCTGGCTGCATTTTGAAGGATGCATGACAGGTGGCTGCCACTTTAGGGAGATTTAAAGAAAGAGTCTGTGCAGAGGCTCTGCAAAACTTTGGTATAGTGCATTTGGGAAATTATGAAGTGTTTGATATTGCTAGCAAGTGAGCTGGAAAGCGGCAGAAGATGAGGGTCTGTAAATAGCCAAAAGCTAAGGGGCAATCTTGAAAAATAGGAATGATATCTCTGTATGTGGTTCTCAAAGGCATTGAATTAGTAACTATGTAGATGTGCTGTGTACCAGTGGTCCCGGAATGCTAATCTTTCATAGTGTATCGCCTTTAAAAGGTTATTAATGTAGGAAAAAATAACACAGGTGTGAAGGCGGTGTGGCACTCCTCCCGTGGGCCAAGGCTCCCATCACACAGGGTGCTGCTATGGAGGCAGCGGGCACGGCAGGCAGGTGTGCCTTAGGGATTCCGCACCCTGTTCTTCTCCAAGCTGCCCTAAGAGAAGCTAACACAAAATTGTTTTCTTGCTGCAGGTCTTTTCACCGCGCTAATTCTTAGAATTATTTTTTTTTTCCCCTCACTGCAAAGCTTTGAAGGGAATTAAATTGGAGAGAGACTCCACCCTGTAACAGAATCACTTCCTTGGCTGATATTTTCACTTACAGAATTTAACTCAAAACGAAACCTGTTCTTTAGCTTTCCTGTGAAAGTTAAACATAAGCCCAATGCTGTCACTTCACCATTTTTATCCCCAACAAGTCTCACACACACAGACAGGCATTATTCCGATTTGTTCTCATCATCAAACATTTGGACATGAATCCCCAGGTCGAGTTTGCTCAGTCTGTGTCTCTAGATCTTGAGTACCGGTGACATTTAGAATGTAAGTTTCCAGAAGTATTATCCTTGTACTTTAAAATTCTTTTATCTGAGGGCTGTTGACATTCCTGTATCACCTGAAACAGGTGATGTATGCTCACGTGTAGCAATAAAAATTCTATTATTATTCTTCATTAAAAGGTGATACCCATGTCATCTACATTTTGGGGGAAGAGGTAGCAAATAAAAGTATATTTCTTAAACGTAGATCTCAGGTACTATTTATTTTACATTTCATGGCAGATTCAGTCCTCGATAGAGGTTTTTATTCAAAGTTTTCAACACAATGTTTTTCATTGAATATTTTCAATAGCATTGAAATGATCTGATGTGCCTGCCGGTAGACCAACAATAGAACTGACTTAGGTAAAACTGGAATGTTGCTAAAACCAAATGTAATCATCCTTTGGTCATTTCCTTATCAAGGATTTCAAATTGACTGACCAATTTCAATTCATGGTAACAGCTTTGTTCCTAAGAGGCTCTAAATCAAAGAAATGCTCGCTAAGGGGGCAGTTCCTACTGCAATCCAAAGTCTGTGCTATTATCACGTAGCAGTTGACAGCAAACATCCGCTGCGAATGTCAGCCTACATTTGTAGGAGGTGTGTGGTGTTTTGGGTTTCACTCTATCTCTGAAACCTATCTGCTTGTGAGAAAAACTGGGCAATAAAAGAAGTTTTACCGGCACATACTATAGCTGAGCTTGGACTCAATGCAGAGATTTCACTTCCTTTCTTTCCCTGGATTCCGAGCCTGGGGAGCACAATGGGGGTGTTGTGCTCTGGGCTAGCGTGGCATGCATGATACTAGGAGAGGACGTGTGAGCAGCTTCCAGTTATCTACACCGTTTGCTTTACAACTACCCTGAACTAAATCAAATGGCACCCCAAGACTCTAAGTTCAGGATAAGCGAGTGCAAAATCCACCAGCTGTTATGACCTAAATAGGGAACAGAATCCCTGAATTCAAATGTAGATACACCGGTGTGCTAAGAGTTCAACAAATCATTGATGAGGCTTCCGAAATGCTGCACAGTTATCAAGCTGCTGATTTTCCCTGTAATTCTCCTTAACGCAGCCTAAGTACAGTTAATTAAAGGATCCATTGTTTATAAGGGAGAGAGATTGTCACTTACAAAGACTGTCCAGAACGACAGGCTGTCATGGTTTGTCAAAACACGAAATATCTTAAGACTCCAAGGCATATCAGTAATGTTGTTTTGTTGTTGTTTTGTTTGGTTTTGGGGTTTTTTTTTTGTTTGTTTGTTTATTTGTTTTTTGGTCACACAATTTCCAGGACATGAATCACTGCAACAACTCTGTTCCGACACTATATTGTGGACATGCCTGCGTGTGAGTGCATGTGCATGGTAAATCCAGAGAACACAATGAGGGTAAATCTTTTAGGTTGAGTTTCGCTCCAAATGATTGCTATGCCCTGTTTTTAAAAAAAAAAAAAAAAAAAGGCAAAAAAAAAAAAGGGGAAAAAAAAAAGCTTACCTTTTTGAATCCAAAGCGGGGTGGATTCACAGGGACCTCCTTCCCAGCCTCGGCCTCGGCCGGGAGGCAGATGCTCTGGAGCCCCCCGGAAGCAGCGGCGCCGCGTTGCAGCCCCGGGCCGGTCCGAGCGCGCACCTGCCGCTCACATGCAGCAGCCGGGCCCGCACGGGCGTTTGCAGAGGGGAGCAGCCTCCTTCCGGGTCACTAGTTTTCAGGGTGAGCAGCTAGAGAGCTGCGGCGAGGAGACTGCAGGGAAGGCTTGCCTTCCCCCAGACAAAAACCCTTTCGGCTGTCTGATCGCAGATAGGCAGCATTATCGCTCCGCATTCCACTTTCTCCAATCAGCTAATCGGAGCGGCCGTCAGCAGCTCGTCCGAACGGCAGCTCCGGCTCGCAGCGTGCGTGGCTGCACCCACCGCCCGCTAACGTGCCCATTGCTCCGCTCTTCTCCGAGGGGATTTGGAAAGAACGCTCCTTCCAGGGGGCGGCTCAGCAGACCGTGCACCCCCCCCCCCTTCTTGGCTTCCAGGAGGGAAATGGCTGGTGCTCGCAGCGCCGCTGCAGGCCGCTCATTGGGTTCCCTGGCTTTTCGTAGCCATGGCAACAGCCAACAGCCTCCCTTCGACGGCAGGCGCGGCGGCTCAGGTGCGGCTCGCCCCCACGGCTGCTTCATTTCTTTTCATCGAGCTCATCATTTGCTTTTTTCCTCCCCCGAGGACGGGAGCTTCCGTCCTCTTTCTCGCCACTTGGGCCGGAGCGCGAGGGGCTCTGAGTTTTCAGCCTCTGTTCCACGAGGCTGGGAGGCTGGGAGGCCGGGAGGCCGGGCGGGGGGCCCTTCTCGGTAGCTGCATTCGGGTCCCTCCTGGTTAGTCACCCGCAAGTCCGCAGAGAGACGCTACTGGGAGCCACTGGCTGGAGGCCTGGGGGCTCCGCGGCTGAGCACCTGCCTCCGGCCCATGGCGTGACCCTGGAGACCCGGGATCGAGTCCCGCCTCGGGCTCCCTGCATGGGTCCTGCTCCTCCCTCTGCCTGTGGCTCTGCCTCTCTCTCTCTCTCTCTCTCTCTCTCTCTCTCCTCTCTCTGTGTCTCTCATGAATAAAGAAAACAAAATCTTTTTAAAAAATAAATAATGGGAACCCCTGTCAAAACAGATTGTAGCTTCACGTCATCCCGGGGGCATAAGGGAGGTCTGCAGATGCAGGCAGTATCACCTGGTGTTTTCAAATAATATGCTTGAAGCCACTTAACTGAAACAAAGCCCCAGGACTCATTCTGCGTGGCCCAAATGACAACCAAGTCCCATAAAGGTATCTGTAAGACGCAACCTAGGACTTTTATGTATCGAGCTACTGTAGTGTATTTTTAGGTATTACACAATTTAAGATAGAATTTAAGAAAAAAATCCTGATTGTTTCCTATCGCAGAAAATGATTAGCTTAGTTATAGTTTATTTGTAATTTAAAAATACGTTACGGGGTGCCTGGGTGACACAGTTAAACGTGCAATGCTTGTTTTTCACTTGGGTGGTGATCTCAGGGTCATGGGATCAAGCCCCGCATCAGGCTCCTTGCTCAGCATGGAGTCTGCTTGAGAGTCTCCCTCCCTCCCTCCCTCTCTCTAAAATGAATAAATATATCTTAAGAAAAAATAAAGAGACTTTAAAAATCCAAACCAAATTAAAAACTCTTTGCTTGGGCAGCCCGGGTGGCTCAGCGGTTTAGCACCGCCTTTGGCCCAGGGCCTGATCCTGGAGACCCAGGATCAAGTCCTGCATCGGGCTCCCTGCATGGAGCCTGCTTCTTCCTCTGCCTGTGTCTCTGCCTCTCTCTCTGTCTCTCATGAATAAATAAATAAAAACAAAAACCCTTTGCTTTAAACATTACCTCCAGGAGAATACTCTTACTTTCTCTGATAGATGGACCACACCACACCCCTTCCTTAAAATGCCACCTCCTTAGGGAATTTCCCATGATTAACGCCATTAGCCATTTTACCTTCTGCAAAATGCCCACCCTTTTCTTTAATACTGTCACCAGTCACAATCTATTTGTTCTATATCCAAGACATCACCCAATTCATTTTTGTTTCCAGCAACCTGTCTGTGCTAGCTGTATTAACACTTTGGACTTGTAAATGTAGATGCTTCCTTTGCTAGGAGTCAATGACTTAGTGTTTTCTAAGTATCGCATTTCCCCACCCACTTTAGCACTCTTGGCTTCAGGAGCAATTTGCCAACTTTAGTTTGTTGAGAATCCTGTGGACGCAGATTTGGTGATCCCCTCTCCCTTTCCTCTGCAACCAGATTCACTTTTGGTAGGTTTGAGCCAGCTTAGGGTCAGCGTATCTACTGAAGAAAAGTGGATGGGCCTTTCTGCTTGTAGGGTCCTCGCCTCTCCATGTTGATTTAAGCCTGCTCACCTGTTCTCATTTAAATCACCTTCCCTTAAGTTATTTTGAGTTTGCAGCACCTGAACTTGCCCCTACCTTCAATTTCAGCCTCATAATCGATGCTTCCTTCCCCATGCTTCAGCAATCTTGAATTACATCCTATTTCTTGTTTCCCTGACTAGCAGATATTCCTGCTACCTAAAAGCTTCTCAGCCAGATTTCAGCCTCCCAGCACCTTTTAACTCCCTCCCAATTGGCCTTCTCCTTTATTTTTCAACGATTTGCTCAAATACATCACCTCATCAATTACCCACCTCAGGAAGGGTATGCAGTGGCCTCCCCTGCTCCGTTGTACCTGGGATCTACCTCTACTGTTACCATACTTGTAATACCTTGTTGATGTATTAGCCTTATTAGCCTTATTTTGTAGACTTAGTTCGTGTCTGACTCCCATACTGCTCTGTCAAATCCCCAGGAGCCAATTTGGTCCATTCATGTCTTACTTGTCTTCCATGTTTTATTTTTAATTTTAAGATATTTTAGTATCTTAAAATGTTTTGAATGAGGACCTACAGTGCTGTCTGAACAGGCACTGAATGGCAGCCTAGTGTGTGAAGTCTGTGTTTGAATTCACCTCTTCAATATCACCCATTCATCAACATTGAAACTTCAGAAGAATTTAAGGGATTTTGATTAAATGTTGGCATGTTAAAAAAATTACCAACAAACATCTCAGTTCATTTTGTGTTTTAGAGTGGGTTTTCTTCCACGTTGTTTGAAAATGTCTTTATTCTACACTTATACCTGATTGATGATTTGGCTAGGTGTAAGAATAAGTCATTTTCCTCTGGGATTTTGAAGGCCTTCTTTTTAAAAATCTCGTATATTCTTGCCCCACTATGGGCAATTATGCCCCCAACTGTGACTCTCCCAAAAAAGAACTAAAAAATACCCAAGTTACATAGGGTAAGAGGCTGGCAGAAACTGAGGCTCCTCTCTTTGCATTTATGGCGTCCCTCATGCATCTCTAGGAATTGTTATATATTACTTTCTGCAGGATTCTGTTATTTCTGTGCTCTTGGGCTTTTTCACCTACCCCAAGCCCTACCTTTCATTTCTCTGGCCCCCGTGGCTCATCACCCTCTAGCTATGCTTTACTTCATGTCTCTGACTTCCATTGTCTCTCCTAACTTGATCATTTAAAAAAAAAAAAAAAAAAAGTTGCTAAATGCAGATTTTCAAGGAACAAATGGGATTTTTCTATTTCATCTTTCTAAGCCAAATAAGGTAACTCATAAATTGCCAGCAGCTTTATACCTAGAATGCCCTATGTCAGGTTCTAATCTTTGGTCCAGTCAGCTCTGGTAGGGACACTTGGCATTACATTGTTTTCAAATTTTTGACAATGCAGTTGGTGTACAGTATCAGCTCATTATTGTCTTAATTTTTACTTCTGTGATTACTGATAGAATTAAACATCTCTTCATGTTTGATGGTCTTTTGGGTTACCTCCTCTATACACTTCCTGTTCATAGCTTTTAGCCTGTTTTCTCTATTAAGGTTGGTGTATTAGTGTGGAATTTTAAACAGAATGGTCATTAAAAGCATTTTCAAAATTTTTATACAGTTAAGCATGACAATTAAACTTGTTATATAATTAGAACTTAATAAGATATCCATTGACATGTAAAGGGAAACCAGTAATTCACCCTGCTAATTGTTTTGGTTTTATTTCTTCAGAAAACCTCCATGCAGAATTTTTTTTCTGCATGTAGTATGAAATATTACTACTACCATAACATGAAGAATGACTTTCTAAAATAAAACCTAAGATCATACAAATCTCATCACAGAAAATGTTGGCATAGAAGTGTCTTGCAAAATTAATATTGCTCTCATGTTTAAAAAACAGCAAGTAGCATGAATGAAAAAGGAGGCCGAAGAGCTGGTTACAGATGGAGGGCAAGGAGACAAGCAGAGTGCAGTGTGTGACTCTGGTCTGGGCACTGGGCCAGGAGGAAGTGCCATCAAGTGCATCATTGAGACAACTGGTGAATGTGAATGTGGTCTGCGTGTTAGGTGATAGCGGTGTTTGCATTTGAGATTTTCATAACTTGATAATTATATTGTGGTATTAAAGTTTGCAGGAAACATGATGAAGTGTCACGTAGTTCAGCAGAAATAATAATAATGCATGATAGTATATTTGTAGTGTGTGTCTGCATGGTGTAATTCAGCTCTTACAATGATAGATATGTGATCTATCTGTGGAGGGCTAGCACAAATATGGCAAAGCAGCAACACCAGGTGAATCCTGAGTGAAAGACATTTCTGGTTTATTTTACTATTCTTGCCAAGCTTAAAGTTTTTGTTGTCAAGCTAAAAAGCTTTTGAAAAAGAAATAAAATGAGAACAAAATACAGTGTTCAGAACAAAAATAGATTAAAATAGATTTAAGGTCAGATTACTTGATGACGGCCTATCAGAATTAAAATTAAAGTTGGTAAGTTAGGGACAAATTAAGGTGATTATTATTGTCACTATATATATATATATATATATATATATATATATATATATATATTTTTTTTTTTTTTTAAGATTTACTATTTGAGAGACCTAGAATGAGAGAGCAGCGGGAGGGGCAGAGGGAGAAGGAGAATCTCAAGCAGACTTCCCGCTGAGTGCAGAGCCTGACACGGGGCTCCATCTCACCACCCTGAGATCATAACCTGAGCCGAAACTAAGAGTCAGGTGCTTAACCGACTGAGCTGCCCAGGCACCCCCACTATTGTTACTATTATTAACATTATTGAGAGACTACTTGGGTAGAAAGTATTGGAAACATTTTTCATTTTCTTGAAAGAAGTCTGATTTCCCTGGATTTGCTGCTTCTCTGTATCCTAATATTAAGCTTGGTGATACAGTTATATAGTTAAACTAATATTTATCCCTTGGTTCCCATGTTGAAATCTGTCTTAATCCGGTTCCTTCACCACTGTAAAAATAAGGTGAGATCGTTGTTGATCAAAGCAACGTGTTCTCCTGCAGCCGAACCTGTTCCTACAACCTCCACGGCTGGGTGACAGTCTACCAA